AATATTTTTTGTTTGTTTAGGTTTATTTTTCCCAAGGAATTATTACTCTGGTTTGTCCATCATATGTTGACAGGACTATCAAATGGTGGCCGCATTAACGACGGTCGCATGATGGTTCGGTCAGTCTCCGTACATAGTCCGGCGAACGCCGCATCCGGAGCACGGACCGACCTGTGAATTCAGGCTTTGCCACGCCTTTACCGCATCACGCCGACGCCCTGCATCGACATCGACCTCGGCGCCAGGCCATATTTCTTTTATTACTCACTTTGCATAAATTATTCATTATGCGACGATTTTTTTAATTATTATTATCACTATTATCTCCGGTTTGCACTAATTTTTGTGCACAGGAAAATGATCCAGCCGGACTATATCCTTTGGCGTCACCTCGGCTGGACGGGGGGCTTCATCAACACTTCATTACCCCATGTCGGGGACTTCGGCATCACTCTGCCATTCTGCATTTACCGAGCTATGTCACCACTTCGGAATGCCGAGCTCTTTGCTCCGCCACCTCGGGACCGGCTTGGGGGACGGAACCTTGTCCCGCATCAAGCTCGGACCACGTCGTCAATACCGAACACATTAACCAGCTAAGTTGTCTTCATGCTCAAAGTTTTAAATTTTTAACTTGTGTTCGGTTCGACCAAGCATTATACTTTTTTTGGAAAAAAGTGGCTTGTAAAAATTTTCCTTGTCCAAACTTTGTTTGCACACACTTGACGTGCTATCCGCGCTCATTATACCTAGGGGCTTCTTTAACAGAAGCTTATTAATACGGGATTTATGCCCGACACATGTGTCACACTTCCGCATGTACCTTTTATTCACCATTATATGCATCGATATGACTTAAGTTTTGGCCAAGCTGGGTTGCCTGGCTCCTGTGCTTACCCCTACGTTCCCGATTGTTCGGCTAGGTGGTAAAGGGAGCACCTCTGCGATTGTTACTGCCGGGTCAGCCGGATGTGTATCTCAGACTGGGTGAAGCCGAAAGCTAGCGTTCTTAAGGGAATACTCGGTCGGTGAACTAAAAGATGATTTCTTACCTATTTATTTACCTGCCCCCAGATGTTTTTCTGCTCTTTCCGCAGTCCGGACATGCACTTTAGGGCATGCCTCCCAGGGAAAGGAACCCCTAACGGAACTATTCTCCCTGGAAGATGTTTCTTACTAACCATGTAATATAACATAACTAGTTGGGCACTTGTCTGATAAAGCACTAATGACCCCTACGCCTGGTCTCCACGCATGCCCCGGCTTTTATAACCGCGAGGGTATTCGGACACACTCCGGACTATTGGGTCCAGAGGTTGAAGCGAAAAGGTCCACTACGACAAACGATCTACAATCCGGCTAGAAGGCATTTTACATGTCACCTTACATTATATAGTCAACTTTTACCCAAGTCACTTGGGGGCTCTTATGTTTATTTGAGCCGTTTTATACTAAGTGTTTTTCTCCTTAGTCGTTGCAAAGTTTTTATTATTTATCACTCCTTTTTTTGACACGAGTGTGCGGTCACTAGCCGGGGAGCTTAATTTCTCTCTCAAAGCCGCTAGAGTTTAGTTTGCCAAACTGGCCTGATGAGAAGTACTCCGCCCTCGGGATAGGAGGTTGAAGCCGTAGGCTGACCCGCTCGAAGTCCTGAGATAGGATGTATCATGTTAAAGCACGACAGAAGCACTTCTTTTTTCTAAGACCAATTTTAGGATTGGCACCGAACACTTGATATTGTTCGGACGTCATGTTTTCACTGACGTTTCTTGGTTTTCTAAGCTTTTTGGCACTTTCAAACTATTTGTGCTTTTCCGGCATTAGTCTCGCAGTGCAACGCCGAACACCTTTTAGGGATTTCGGCAAAAATATTCTCGGATATTGCTATATATGAATCGGTTTCGAATTGTGTCTTCGGTAAATAGTTGGGTTGCTCGGCTCCCGCACTTGCTTCCTATGTTCCGTTTTGTTCAGCTAGGCGTGCAAAGGGAGAACCACTGCGATTGTGCTTCCAGCTCACATGGTTAAGCTCCTCAGTGGAGAAAGCCGAAAACTGACTGTCACAATAAGCGTAAACTGGTCAGTGATCCGATAACTATGTTAAATAACAGGCCGTTCATAACATTGGCCGAAGTGTTTACGGCTTGACCTCGACTGTCGCCGAACACTACCGGGGGCTATTAACTAGCCTCTCCAACTAAATCCTCGATATTTTGCTCTTACATTGGAGCTGAGGTTTTATGATCATGCTTAGCATGACAACCCAAAGAAAGGAACCGATAGCGGGACTATTTTCTTTGGAAGACATTTCTTCTGTTAAACAGTAATATAATATATCTCTCCGCGTACCTTTTTTTATAAAACTGTATGGCCAGATTTCCTTGTTTGTCGTCCTCATAAAGGCTTTATAAAGTAGGACAAACACTCCTTAGCTATTGGCCGAGGAGGTGGAAGCCGATGGTCGGTCAACAAAGTTTTGTACAATGCGGATCCGAGCATCAATGACGTAAAGTACTTGGATACATAGAGTCATTACACATAATTTGTGATTTTACTATCGATATTGATCCTTAATTCGGCCACCCGTGCCCGCATTAAGGCTCGGGGGCTACTGGGCTTCGGGCTTATTATTTAAAACATATCAAAGGGGCATATTGATCCCCTGATCTGGTGTTGCCACCCGACCAGTGTCTCGGGGGCTACTGCAGTGCTTGCCCAATGCAGAAAATTTTATGTGCAATATAGTTTCCGAGGAGATTTTGATCCTCAGGTTGGTCGGCCGCACCCAACCTGAGTCTCGAGGACTAAGCACGCCGCTTTTAGTGTCCCGAAGTATTCTGCCGAGCTTGGACTTGATCCTCAGGCCGATTTTGCAAATCAACCTGAGTCTCAGCGGCTACTGGGATCAGCGGTCTTACGTCATCCTTCAGGTGCATCTCGGGTTTTAGACCGATAAACACCTTGAGGGCTACTGGCTATATATCTCGGCAGAGAATAAATTGCAATAATAAAAAATATTGACAAAAAATCGGCCCACAGTCGGGGTGGTGCACCACCTCGGAAGTAGTCCGACATAAAGCTCGGGCGCTAGTGGCTGGCTCCATAGAGGGCATTTCCGGCATTAAGCTTGGCTAAACTCCTTCAAACTTCTTTGAACCAAGGTGATTTACGACACCTCGGATACAGTCCGGCATTGGAGCTCGGATACATAGTCCGGCGTTGGAGCTCGGATACATAATCCGGCGTTGGAGCTCGGATATGTTCCGGCGTTAAAACTGGGAAGCGGTCCGGCGTTGGTGCTCGGCTGCAAAAGATACCTCGAATGGAGTCCGGCGTTAGAGCTCGGACGCAAGAGGACGCTGCCGCCCGGGAACAACTTCAAACCCGAGGTGTGGCATAAAAATAACGAGGCATTGATAAAGGCCGGAAACTTAAAGGGGTTCCTCGGATACCCGACGTGTAAACCCGTCGAATGCATTTCGGCGATCCTCAAGATCGAAGATAAAGAAGATTCGTTGAACCAGTTTTCAAGACTGATGACCGAAGATGAAGAACAGTTCTGAAGAATCGAGGAGCGTCCCTAACTTGAAGACCAGTTCAGGGGGCTACTGACGGTGTCCTGGACTAGGGGGTACTCACCACGTCATCTCCTGATCTATTAGATTGGGCAAGGACCCCCACGGCCGTATACTCATGGGCCAGTCCGGACAGGTGCCGCATACAAGGAAGATTCTACAAGACTTGGCGATCAAGACAAGGACTCCTCCCCCACCGGCGTATTCGGATAGGACTCTTGTTATCCTAGGCCTCCGGTGCATTATATAAACCGAGGCCAGGCTAGTCGATAAAGATATACAACAATCATACAATAGGCTAGCTTCTAGGGTTTAGCCTCCTTGATCTCGTGGTAGATCCACTCTTGTACTACCCATATCATCAATATTAATCAAGCAGGACGTAGGGTTTTGCCTCCATCAAGAGGGCCCGAACCTGGGTAAAACATCGTGTCCCTTGTCTCCTGTTACCATCCGCCTAGACGCACAGTTCGGGACCCCCTACCCGAGATCCGCCGGTTTTGACACCGACAGCGGGTCTGGCCCGTCGGGTAGCTTTCAGTAAGCTACAAAGAAGACAACCCAAGTTCGGAGTACATGGAGGTTCGAGCATGGACGACTTCTAGGTGGTGGAGAATATTCGCCAAGGTGGAGTTTGTTATATTTGTGTCGAATATACTATGTACGCAAGGGGTTACGACTTGGAGTTGTAATTGGTGTGGTTAGGTACGAGTTGTGTAGGAGTCGGACACTTGTATCCTAGGCCTCTTATATACGGAGGGGCACCACACGTTGTAACCCATGACGACTTGATAGAAACAGGTACGCCGGGGAGCCGACGGCTTGTGTCGGCGCCCGGGCGGCCGGTGTTGCGGTATCTTGGGGAGGAGCGCCCGTAGTCATGCCCCGGGGATGTAGCCATATCGGTGAACCTCGTTAACAAATATCGTGCCTCGGTGTGTCGTCAATGATCTTGCATTAGCGTTTTATTCTAACACAGTTAGCGCATCCCGAGAAGCACTTCCCCTGTATCACGCCTCCTCTGCTCGCCAGCCCGCAGTCGCACAAGCACGTCGCAGAGGAGCCACCGTAGGGGCTTATCATGTGAGGCTGCGGCAGCTGCTGCTGGATCGGCGCCGGCACCAGCGCAAACGAGCCATCAAAAGGGCCTGTGCGAGGCGGCTGCTGCTGGATTGGCGGCGGCGCCGACACCAGCGCCGGTGAGCCACCGCAAGGGCTTGTGCGAGCCGGCTGCTTCTGCATCGGCGGCGACAGCGCCACCGAGCCGGTGATGGTGATCTTGACCCCGCGCCGCATGAGCTTATCAAGCAGCCGCACGGTGTTGCGCGCGTCATCCAGCCCGCAGTACAGGCGGCCCTCCCAGTCCAGCCCTGCCGCCCTAACCGCTTCCTGCAGGTTGACCCGCCCTCCGCCACCGAGCGCCGCCTAGAAGGGGACTCTCAGATTGATCCACTGATCGAAGTACGAGGGCTTCTCGATGCCCGTGAAGCGGCACTCGAACTCGAGCATGGTCCGGCAATCCCAGTCCCCCCATGCCACGACGCCCAAGCGGACACGTCTCTTGTTCCCTGCCCCCGCCGTCGCCGCCTTCAACCAAGCGTCGTGCAGCCAGAGCGCCTCGCCGAGATCCACGCCGCCGTCGACGTCCTCCTGCCGGATGCCGGTGAGTTCCCTGCAAAACCGGGTCAGCACAAGGTGATGTTTTGGACGAACATACCTGCGAAACGCGAACTCGATGCGGCCGGTGGCGCCGTCGACGAGCACGGCGGGGAACTCGATGATTTCCTGCGAGAAGATCCGCGCGTCTTTGACGCACGTCGCCTCGAAGTCGACCACCACGAAGAAATCGAAATCTTGCTCCAGCCCCTGCCCACACCCCGCCATGATCGCTGCCATGTTCGCCGGAGTGCGCGCAAACTCGAGATGGGGGGAAGTTGGGAAGATAGGCGGCGAAGATGGGGGAAAGATCAGATCGAAAACTAGGGTCGCGAACCCGCCGGTGCGCCGTCCCCTTTAAATCCCAATCCAATCCGATGCTTTTCGCAACAACGGTTCGCGGGTGTTTCTTTTTATGTCGTTGGTGACATTTTTTTAATCTAATCCTTTTTTGGGGATTTTTTAATCTAATCAACAAACCAAAGGCTGTGATTTTCAGTTGGATCAGCAAACCAAAAGCTATTTCTAATTTATTTATTTTACACTGAATAAGTTTTTACACTGAATAATTTATTCCTTGTTCAGGCTTATTTTCGGGCTTTCAGGCTAGGCTGTCCTAGTTGGGATGTCCATGTCCGGGTCTACGCTAGGCCTATCACGTGCTCCCTTCACACCACGTGGGCTACTGCCCCAGGATGGCGAGCAAACACGCAAATTGCGCTCCTCGTTTCATACTTTTGGGCAGGCTGAAGTAGCTCCTTCATGGACCGGTTTTTTGGCGAGTGTTTTCTTTTGATTTTTTTCATTTTTGTTCTTTCCTTTCTTTTTTATTCTCATTCTTTCTTTCTTTCTGTGTTATTTGCTTTTTTATGTTTATTTATTCTTTCCATTTCCCCCTCTTTTCTTCCCCTTTCCTTTTTCTTTTCTTTTACTATTTTTCGGAAACATCTTTCAAATTTTTTGCTTTTTATAAATTATGAACATTGCTTCAAATTGTGAATATGTTTTTGAAATCATGAACCTTTTTTAAATTCAGCAACATTTTTTATAAATTTGCGAAGACTTTTTAAAATTGTGAATACTTTCCAAGCTCATGCATACTTTTTCGAATGTCATGAACATTTTTTTAAGAATACTTTTTTGAAATTCATGAACATTTATTGAATCGGTGAATCGTTTTTATGTAACATTTTTTTAAAGAAATGAGTGGATTTTTTGAAATACATGAATATTTTTTGAAAATTGTGAACAATGTTGATGAACATTTTTTAACTCATGAACATGTTGTTCTAATTCACGATCTATTTTTATTTTTTATATGCAGTTTTTTTAAAAAAAATCATGAACTTTTTTTGATTTCCTGAACATTTTTTGACTATTCGAACGTTTTCGAATCCATGATGTTATATTATTTCCTGAACATTTTTCAAGATCATGAATATTTTTTTAATTCTTGAATATTTTATTATTTCTTGAACACTGTTTATGAAATACATTAGTTTTGGAAGAAATAAAAAAGGTGTGTCCCGCCCCATCATGGGCCGGGGCAAAGGGTTGCGCTAGGCGCCGGTAAGCCGGCCGAAAACTCGTTCGGTTGCACCACAGCCACATGATTGAGTGTGTAACGGCCGTTGGATCGGTGGTTTCCCATAACAAAAAAAAAGTCAACAAGAAGCAGGTGTTCACTAACCTCCCCTGCTTAGCTCAACACTAGCACAACGTTGTTTGGATCGCAAAAAATTGCCACATAACGCGCTCATGGCCAAATTGTCCATCGGTTGCACCACCGCTCGTCGATGCTTGATGTCGTCGCCCCACCACAGTTGCTTGACAGCCGCACCCGGTTACAGCACCGTGCGCTCCAATTCCAGCTCGCTGCCATGACGGTTGCAACATCGGGGCTCCCATTCCAGCTCATTGTATGTCGATCGTAGCATTTGTTGCCTTGATTTGCAGCTTGCCACCATGCTGGTTCTACCTTACTGCCATGCCGATTGCAGCACTAGGGACTCCTAGATGCAGCTCGTCGTCGTTCTTTTGGCCCCCTCGATGCACCGGTTCCCGCTTTCGATGGTGCCCGTGGTAGCACTCCGGGTCGCTGGTGCAGCATCTCAGCATGGCCCTCATAGCATCGCCGGTGGTTGGCTCTAGCTCTCGATGGTGCCCATTGTAGCACCCTAAGTGCCAGTTACATCGTCCTGCATCGCCGACATGGTTCGCTTGGCTGCCCGATTGCATCTTCTGATGTCTGCAGTAGAAGCTTTCATCTCTGGTAGTTGCAACACCAGGTAGCCGATGTCGTGGTCGTGTGCTTGTCGGTTGAGCTGCTAGCTCAGCTAGTTGCAGCACCTTGCAACTCATCCCCTGTCCTTGCCACGCATGCCAAAGTTGTCTCGCAACACCGCTCGCCTGCTTTAACCTGCATTGTCGTCGCCCCTCCCTTTCGCCTGTCGTAGCTCGTGGTCGACCTTGGCCGCAATGGAAAAAGTGGTAACAACCTTGCCTGTGATGTGGCGTGGAAGGTGGAAGAGAAAAGGAGATAGAGGAAGGAAGGGGAACAAGTGGACGAAAGCAAATGCGTGTGAAAAGATAAGGGAGAAAAAGCAGCGCATGGCCCCACCGTGTGTAATGCAAGCGTGAGACAAGTCGAAAACTTAGCCGGTCGACCGATATGAATAGTTTACACGGCACAAGAGGGTACGGGGGGAGGGGGGGCAGGGTGCACGTTTTGTGATGTCGCTGCGCGCACTACGCCGAATAGGAGGTCCTGTCGCACCCAGAAGAAAGACCGTATTCTTATTTTCAACCTTAAGCGCTAGATACAGTTCAATTCGCTAACAGGCGCGCACCCTCCACTACATCATGTATGTCCATGGGACGACCCACGTTGGTCTTTCTTATTTCCACCATGTTTTGAGGAACCTTTGCAATAAATGTACTCGTGGTTTTCTAGGTGGTTGTTTCTTCTGGTTTTACCCGTCATGTTTTTTTGCCAGTTTTTACATTTTGTTTTTCATTTTTCGTTTCCTTTTCATTACTTCCTTTTGCTTTTAGGTTTATTTTTCCTTTCTTTTTCATTTTTTAAATCAAATTCCTAAACTTATTTTCACAAATCCATTAACTATTTCAAATTTGTTTTCCTGTTTCCAAATCTCAGTGAACTTTTGTTCCAAATTTCGTTAACTTTCATCAAATTACAAACTTTTTTTGTAAATCTCATGATTTTTTCCAAAATCGATGAATTGTTTTTCCTTTTCCAAATATCTGTGAACTTATTGTTTCAAATTCATCAACCTTTTCAACTTACGATTTTTTTCCAAATCCCCTGAATTTTTTTGCGAAAATCAATGATTTCTTTTCAAAATCTCTATGAAGTTTTGTTTCAGATTTAATGAACTTATTTTAATTCTCATGATTTTCTTTCCAAATCTCGTGATCAATAGATATACCTTAACAGGACTAAGGAAATGATCCTAGTGTATGGAGGTGATGAAGAGCTCATGTAAAGGGTTACACCAATGCAAGGTTCATGACTGATCCAGATGACTTTAGATCTCAGTCAGGGTTTGTTTTTACACTAAATGGTGGCACAGTAAGCTAGATGAGTTCTAAGCAAATTATCGTGACGAATTCTACAACAGGGAGTCAGAGACAAAATGTATGGCTGCTTAAGAAGCATCCAAGGAGGGCTATCGAATTAAGAAGTTCATCACCGAGCTTGGTGTGGTCCCAAGTGCGCTGGACCCAATGGATCTTATTGAGACAATAGCCACGTTGTGGCCCAGGAAAGGGAGCAAAGGTCAACAAGAAGTCCAAACCTTTTGAACACCAATTCCACATAATACAAGATTTTATGGAGCATGGATTTGTGAAGATTCGAAGGATTCATATAGGGCATGTTTGGTTGCCTGCATATGGCCCAGTTTGGCCCGTGCAGGAAGAAATTGGCCCATTTGGTTTCTTGCGATTACTGTGCAGCCCGCATTGCATGGAACTTAAAGCACGTCCAGGCCAGGCCGAGGGGAAACGCCCGAATCGGCAGTAGCTCATGAGCCTGGCTCGGGCGAGGCAGGGGAGGGCGACGCGCTTCTCTCCTCGTGCGACCAGGGAGATGGAGGGAGCTCACCCGCGTTGCCAAAAAATTGGCATGAGGATTTCGGCTCACCTCCCGCCGAGTCCACCCCTATTTAGCCCTTCCCTCACTGCCCCAACTCCCTCCACCATTCTCCCTCCGTTCGAGCTTTCCCGCCGACGCGCATCGGCACCGACGAGCAGGTAAGTGGCGCATCTTCGTCGGCCGACGGTTCACGGCGTCGGCGCTCCTTCACCGGCCGGCGTTGATCTTCCATGACCGCCCCCTCGTCCTCAAGCTGCAGCCATGGCCTCTGTGAGTTCAATCCCCCTTTCTCTCTATTCCTTCTAGCTAGATCTAAGTTGCAGCTAGGGTTTGATCTAGATGCATGGTTGATTAGTGGTCTGATCTGTGAGCTGATATGATTGATTGCTATGCCGCGGTTGCAATTAGTGGTAGGGCTAGATGTTCAAGCATGTGGTAGCTAGATTAGTAGTAGAGTTTGAAGTTGAACCTTGTGCTTGTGTTGATTCATGATGTCTACTACACAAACTTCTTCTTGTAGACGTTGTTGGGCCTGCAAGTGCATAGGTTTGTAGGACAGTAGCAAATTTCCCTCAAGTGGATGACCTAAGGTTTATCAATCCGTAGGAGGCATAGGATGAAGATGGTCTCTCTCCAACAACCCTGCAACCAAATAACAAAAAGTCTCTTGTGTCCCCAACACACCCAATACAATGGTAAATTGTATAGGTGCACTAGTTCGGCGAAGAGATGGTGATACAAGTGCAATAAGGATAGTAGATAAAGGTTTTTGTAATCTGAAATAATAAAAACAGCAAGGTAACTAATGATAAAAGTGAGCGTAAATGGTATTGTAATGATAGGAAACAAGGCCTAGGGTTCATACTTTCACTAGTGCAAGTTCTCTCAACAATAATAACATAGATAGATAATATAACAAGCCCTCAACATGCAACAAAGAGTCACTCCGAAGCCACTAATAGCGGAGAACAAACGTAGAGATTATGGTAGGGTACAAAATAAGTTATTCTTTCGGATCAATCTATAAAAGAGTTCGTACTAGAATAACACCTTAAGATACAAATCAACCAAAACCCTAATTTCACCTAGATACTCCATTGTCACTTCAAGTATCCGTGGGCAT